ACCGTGTTTTAAAAACAAACTCTGTCCACACGTACCTGGATAAATACGTTGTTAAGGACATGCCAGACCTGTAGGCAGCAGTACTTCCCCCGTTCTTAACCTCGTCCTTCGTCTGCGGTCTTCCGCAAGGAGCAGTAATTCCGCTTGCAAAAACAAACAAGCAAAAAGTGCTTGGACAATTGATAAAGCAAGCGCAGCTCTGAGGGCATCCATGCTGTCGGCTAGTGTAAACACAGGTCGCACACGTGATGTCAGCATTTTTTTGTCGCGGAAAGTGACGTTGCGGACCTTAAAACTCCGGTTTTGTCCGTCCACACGCAGACACCCAAAACGGAGAAAACGCAGATCTTCACTTTGGCCGGAGTTTTTAAAAAGATCCGTTTTCGTGTGAAAAAACTCCGTTTTCGTGTGGATGACAGGCCAAAACGTAGAAAAATATCTACGTTTTGGCAGATCCGCGGCTACGTGTGGACAGGGCCTGAGATTTGTGAACTTTGCTTTATTTTAAATGTTTTATAAACGCTTTGAAGTGAGATATTCACGGTTTTCTTTCAGGACTGTCTAGTTTGCATCTGTAAATAACAACTCAAGCAGCAAAGCAACCACGGATAATTAACCATCAGAATATCCGTGTAGAAATCGAATCTCTAACAAATAATCAGATGATTAACTAGGTGTGGAGGACTGGGGCTGAGTTCCGTTTCTCAGATTACAGACGGAACATTTTGGAAGAAAAAGTCGAGATTTGATTTCCAGAATGAAGAACTTAGTTTTGTTTTGATCTACTTTTGGATTTAAAACTTGGAAACTAAAGCTGCGTTCTTCTGTCTGGCCCTGCTGCTCCGTCCTGCTGTGTGTGTTCACGCCTCCTTCAGGCACAGCTTTCCCTCCTGAGCTACGTCAGTGTTGGCTGTGTGGTCGGCATCATCGCTGGTTTCTGCATCGGTCCAGGTAAACCCCAGTCTCGTGTCTAAGCTCACACTGCTCCCTGCTGGAAAGCTGCACTACAGCAGGCACTGCGCCTCCCCCCCCTCTCACCTCCAGCCCCGTCTTCTCCTCCTGTGAGTGTGAAGAGATATTGTATTTCATTAGTCTTGTAGATCAAGAAATCCTGCTGCCACAGTGCGCCCATTCCCGTAGCCATTTGTGCAGCGGACGAGAAGAGAATGACGGAGCGTTGGTCTACAACGTGGCGTTGAGCAGACCTGTGAGGATGACGAATTAGCAGAAATCTGGTTTACACGGCGTCGTTCGTCAAGCCAGCAGAATCCATACCATCATACAGGAGAGAGGGTTTCTGTTGCTGCAATTAGACCGTTAATGGCTCATTGTTCAGCAGCCAGCAGTGATGAATACGGCACCTCAGACCAAACCTTGCTCTCGCTGCCGTACGCTGGGCACATGTTGACAAATTAGGGTCTAGTTATTTGTTTGACGGTGCTAAAGCTTCCCCTCTGCAGGCAGAGATAATGAGGACATCATTCTGAAAGCTGATCATTAAAGCTTCTGCTCGTGCCCATTTCTCCCTCACACCCTCCACTTCCAACAATGAGGGATGTTTAAAGGAAGCGGGCCTCTAATAAATCCTGCGTATCAGACTAATGAATTGCACAAATCCTCTTTTCTCCAGTTCTGAGTCCTTCCAGCCTGACCCGTCAGTTGGTGATTATTCAGTAATAACACACAATGAAAAGCGTGCGTTGACAGAGAGAAGCTTAATAGCACTTTGTTGATCCTCCTTTGTTGGGGGTTTGAACTGGGTGAGCAGTCCTGAGTGGGATTATTGATGAATGAAGCAGCTAGTTTTCATTTCACAGCAGTAATTACATTTGATTTGTACGGTAACTGGATGATTAGGAGGATTAAACCAATAGAAGAAGCTATTGGAGGACCCAGGAAAGATCATTAGAAACGATACAGGTGTGTTTCTTCTTCCTCCCTCCAGCCGGCGTTCCTTTCCTGATCACCGCTGAGCTCTTTAAGCAGTCCCACCGACCTTCTGCCTACACCGTGGCCGGTTGCCTCAACTGGTTGTCCAACTTCATCATCGGCTTTGTTTTTCCTTTCCTGGAGGTCAGGCCACACTCAATTCTCCTTTAAGCTTTTAAGCACGCAGAGGTCATCTGTAGACCAGGGGCGGGGAACCCTGGTCCTCCAGGGCCGCTACCCATCATGTTTTAGTTGTTTCCTTACTCCAACACTGATTCGGTGGTTGACTCAACTGTTCAGCAGCTCTGCAGAAGCCTGTTAATCACCTGCCGATTAAAATCAGGTGTGTTGAAGCAGGGAAGCAACTAAAACATGTAGGAAAACAGCCCACAAGGGACCAGGACCCACCCCTGTTGTAGACAAATTGACTGATTCAAGTCTTAAAGGTCTGAAGTTCTGGAAACTTAAGATGTTTATCTGCTGTAAGGCACCTTTTTTAGGTGTATTTCTGCTACAAGGCACCTGGTTTAGGTGTATTTCTGCTATAAGGCACCTGTTTTAGGTGTTTTTCTGCTCTCATGCACTTGTTTTAGATGTTCTTCTGCTCTCATGCACCTGTTTTAGGTGTGTTTCTGCTATAAGGCACCTGGTTTAGGTGTATTTCTGCTATAAGGCACCTGTTTTAGGTGTTTTTCTGCTCTCATGCACTTGTTTTAGATGTTCTTCTGCTCTCATGCACCTGTTTTAGGTGTGTTTCTGCTATAAGACACCTGTTTTAGGTGTTTTCTGCTCTCATGCACCTGTTTTAGGTGTGTTTCTGCTATAAGGCACCTGTTTTACAGCAGAAACACACCTAAGACACCGGTTTTAGGTGTGTTTCTGCTATAAGACACCTGTTTTAGGTGTATTTCTGCTATAAGACACCTGTTATAGATGTTCTTCTGCTCTCATGCACCTGTTTAAGGTGTGTTTCTGCTATAAGACACCTGTTTTAGATGTTTTTCTGCTATGAGGCATCCTGATTTAGATGTATTTCTGCTATAAGACACCTGTTTTAGGTGTGTTTCTGCTCTAAGACACCTGTTTTAGGTGTTTTTCTGCTATAAGACACCTGTTTTAGGTGTGTTTCTGCTATAAGACACCTGTTTTAGATGTTTTTCTGCTATGAGGCATCCTGATTTAGATGTATTTCTGCTATAAGACACCTGTTTTAGGTGTGTTTCTGCTCTAAGACACCTGATTTAGATGTATTTCTGCTATAAGACACCTGTTTTAGGTGTGTTTCTGCTATAAGACACCTGTTTTAGATGTTTTTCTGCTATGAGGCATCCTGATTTAGATGTATTTCTGCTATAAGACACCTGTTTTAGGTGTGTTTCTGCTCTAAGACACCTGTTTTAGGTGTTTTTCTGCTATAAGACACCTGTTTTAGGTGTGTTTCTGCTATAAGACACCTGTTTTAGATGTTTTTCTGCTATGAGGCATCCTGATTTAGATGTATTTCTGCTATAAGACACCTGTTTTAGGTGTGTTTCTGCTCTAAGACACCTGATTTAGATGTATTTCTGCTATAAGACACCTGTTTTAGGTGTGTTTCTGCTATAAGACACCTGTTTTAGGTGTGTTTCTGCTCTAAGACACCTGTTTTAGGTGTTTTTCTGCTATGAGGCATCCTGATTTAGATGTATTTCTGCTATAAGACACCTGTTTTAGGTGTGTTTCTGCTCTAAGACACCTGATTTAGATGTATTTCTGCTATAAGACACCTGTTTTAGGTGTGTTTCTGCTATAAGACACCTGTTTTAGGTGTGTTTCTGCTCTAAGACACCTGTTTTAGGTGTTTTTCTGCTATAAGGCACCTGTTTTACAGCAGAAACACACCTAAAACAGGTGTCTTATAGCAGCAACACACCTAAGACACCGGTTTTAGGTGTTTTTCTGCTGTAAAACAGGTGCTTGAGAGCAGAAAACGCCTGTGTTAGATGTTTTTCTGCTATGAGGCATCCTGATTTAGGTGTATTTCTGCTATAAGACACCTGTTTTAGGTGTGTTTCTGCTCTAAGACACCTGTTTTAGGTGTTTTCTGCTCTCAAGCACCTGTTTTAGGTGTATTTCTGCTACAAGGCACCTGTTTTAGATGTTCTTCTGCTCTCATGCACCTGTTTTAGATGTGTTTCTGCTATAAGACACCTGCTTTAGGTGTTTTTCTGCCAAAAGACATTTGTTTTAGGTGTTTCTCTGCTCTCATGCACCTGTTTTAGATGTGTTTCTGCTCTCATGCACCTGTTTTAGGTGTATTTCTGCTCTAAGACACCTGTTTTATTTGTTTTTCTTCTCTCATGCACCTGTTTTAGGTGTTTTCCTGCTCTCGTGCACCCGTTTTAAGTGTGTTTCTGCTAAAAGACACCTGTTTGAGGTGTTTAATAGCTCTCAGACACCTGTTTATATGTGTGTTTCTGCTGTAAGACACCTGTTTTAGTTGTTTTCCTGCTCTGAGACACCTGTTTTAGGTGTGTTTCTGCTAAAAGACACCTGTTTCAGGTGTTTTTCTGCTCTCAGACACCTGTTTTATTTGTTTTTCTGCTCTCATGCCCCTGTTTTATGTGTTTTCCTGCTATAAGACTTCTGTGCGTAATATTTATTTAATTTTTTAAATTGTTTTCTTATCTTTTCTCTCCAGGAAGCCACAGGACCTTTCTGTTACCTGATTTTTTGTGCGATCTGCTGGGGAGTAGCGATTTATGCCATCCTCATTATTCCCGAGACCAAAAACAAAACCTTCCTGGAGATCAGTCAGATGTTTGCTGCTAAAAAGGATGTCCTGGATGACAACATGAAACTGGCCCTGATGAACGGTTATGGAACACTCGGCATCCATGATGAGAAATAAAAGCAGAAACATGCTGATGTTGTGAAACGAAGTAGAAGACGTTCTTCGTGAGGGTGAGGTCAAGCAGTGAAGATTTTCATCTGTTGGATACAGATTTCTGTCAGTGTTTGCTCTGCTTCTTCTGCTGTGGAAAACATGAATGTTTGTTCATTATTATGATAATAAAACATCTCAGGCACAA